CAGAATATTTTGACCGTAATATTGCGTAAATCTTACGATATTGAAAACTTACGTAATATTTTAACCGTAATATCAAGGGGTGGAGGGGGGACAACTTGTTTGTTATACAATAATAGATCTAATTAATAAAACTGTCCTACATATAAAATTCATATACGTTACTAATAAAATATAATGATCAACGAAGAAAATACCCCTGCAATTAAAAAAATCTGCTTATCAAATCATGTAATCCTTGAAATATGATTCACGTTAGATCTTTTTTATCGCGTCAAGTTTTTTTTATTTGCGATTAAACATTTCTGAAAAAAATAAAACTCCATCGGCAATTTATTTTCAGTAACTATGGTGAGAAAAGTAAATTTTTTAGCTATTTTACTGAAATTTTATTAATTCAAAATATTTTTATGCTTTAGAAACATGTTTTAAATGACCATACCAATGTTCAAATATCAAAAAAACTTAAATATCCCGAAGCTCTTCAGGAATTATACCGTCTTCAACCAGAATTTAATGGCAAATTGGTTTATTTTTTTTACAAGAAAACACAATATATAGAAGGACTCTTGGTTTATGATAAAAAAGACAAAATTTTTTACGTCTTTGATAAGAAAACTAATGAAAAATTTAGTACATTTGCTTCTTGGATTAAGTTTCTCAAAAATAAAAAATTATTTAGTGGTGAACGGTCGGCACTTACTACAATATTTTTTGAACCAAATTCTTCTAGTTTTAATTTAGCTTCATTATTGAGAACAAAGCAAATTCCATATTGGAAAAATTATAATTCAACAAGTATTGCAGAAGTTACATCATTGATAAAAACACTTATGACTTCAAATCAAAAGTTTTTCGGTATAGGAATAAGGGAAATTATTAATGGAGTTGGTGTTACATTTTTCGAAAATGAACAAAAATTAGAAAAGGATCTAATTATTAAATGGCAAAACGATTTAATTTCTTATGAACTGTGTGTTTTAGGAAAAGGTGTTAAAGAAATAAATGGAATAACAACAGGAATTGCAATTAAAAGAACTCTTTCAGAGATAAATGAAACAATTCATTATGTATCTACGGCGAAAATTTGCATTGGACAAAAAACTAAAGGTATTTATTTTAATTATTTTTAACCTTCAGTTTATATATTAAATTAAAAAGTTATTTATGTTCTAGGTTTTGAACAAGTAATTAAACTCCGGGGTATTCATCTGGTCAGAAATCAAAAAAACTCTGACAATACTCACGAACCCTTTGCAATTTTAAAGAACCATAACCAATATAATCAAACTTATAGAAGAATAGACTGTTATTTATTAGTGACTAAAACAGATATATGTGAAAATTGTCAAAAATTAAAGGATACACTAATAAAAATCAAAAATCGTAATCAAAAAAATGCTTTACCTGTTAAAGTTGTTCATGCTTCTCAAGAAGTTTTAGCCAAAAAAATTCAACTCCAAAGAAAGGTAATTATTATTTATAAATTAAGATACTAATTAAAAGCATAAAAAATTAATATTAACATAATTTTCCTTAAGAAAATTGCAAATAAGAATCAAATTATACATACCTTGCGGGATAAACTTCAACAAAAAATAGAAGATAATGAAGAAAAGATGTCAGAAGAATTAAATCAAGTTGCTCAAAAAATATCTAATGAAGTTATGGAAAATAAAATTGATATTTCTTCTTTTAATCCGATTTTTCAAGAATTAATTAGAATTCAAAGCGAAAAAGTTAATGGAGTAAGGTACCATCCGATGTAAGTATATAATTATTTAAAGAAAAAATAATTAAATAAAATTTTAACAATTTAACTGCCAATTTAGGTTTATGCGGTGGGCTATTTCTATATATAGCCGAGCAGGTCGTACAGCTTATGAAGTAATGAAAGGCATCATGCGGTTACCTTCAATATCTACAATAAAAAACTACATAAATGAAAATCAGCAACATTCGGGATGGCAAAACAAAACCGCTCACCTTATTCTGGAAAAAATGACTGTAGAAAATATTGGCAGTTATGGTCGAATTGGATTTTTTTCTCATGATTCATTTAAAATACAAAAAGGTATTTATTGTTAATAATATTTACAGTAAATAACTATAAAATATTTATTTTATTTAATATTTAAAAGGTCTACTTTGGAGTCAGCGAGATAATTGCTATATTGGATATTTAGATTTTGAAGATGAAAAAGAAGAATTGCAATTATTTATAATGCAATGTGAAAAGGAATTACAAGCAGATGATAGCAGTAATTCATCTGTTTTAGAAGGCTATGATCGAAATTTAGCAACCCAGGTGCATCAAGTCGTTTGGCACTCAGCTACTTGTAACTTTGCATACCCTATAGCATATTATGGAATTAACACTCTTACTGCTCATGAAATTAATAAAATGCTTTTTCAACTTGCGGCTAACCTTGAATGTATTGGTATCCATACTTGTGGATCTATTTGTGATGGTGCTGGAGAAAATAGAAATCATATCAAAAGTTTTGACTGGTGGGCTTCTTCTTGGTCATTAGGAGATATTGTTGAAGTCAATATTGGCAAGAACAATTATGAGCAAGCAAAAATTATAACAACAAATATTAATCGTAGCAAATTTACAGTACGTTTACTAAATCCATCTTCTTCTAGTGATTTACAAGTAGATCGTAGCTCATTAAGACCACTGATGCCTACCAAACTGAATTGGGAAATCAATGATTATTGTGAATTCAAGAGTCCAAAAGATAATAAATGGCATGTGGCTATTATTACAAATTTTGATTCTGCAACACAGGCTTTTATTATTACAATTTTGTCTACTAAAGAAGAATGGAGTGTGACAATTGAATCCCAAAACGTATATGTTAGGCCTCTTTATGATGCTCAAGTACATTGGATGAACTATAAAACAATAAATCCAATTACTGGTACATCATGGTTTTTCATCAGTGATCCCACACATGTGTTCAAAAAACTTCGGAACAATCTATCAAAAAGTCATATTGGAGAAGGCCAAGGTCAAAAAAATATTAGAGAAATCATGATAGATGGAAAGGAAGTTAGCTGGCGTCATGTCCAAGGCGTTTATGATTATACCGCTAAAAATTCAACAGCAAAAATTACAAAACTTACCAAACGTCATGTTTGGCTAACTTCTTGGAGTAAAATGCGTGTTGATCTTGCTGAACACACTTTATCGAAGGATGTTGAAAATGCAATGAAAGTAATAGACGAATTAAAAGAAATATCTGCTGGGACCAGAGTACGTAAATAATAATAATAAATTTATTAATATTTAAGAATACATAAATAATAACAAATTTTCATTTAGGAATTTATACATTATTCATATCTTTATCGGCAAATATTCCATAGCAAAAAACCTTTGGAAAGTCTTGATGATTCTTGTCTTCATACCTTAAAAAATGTTCATGATTAGTTTGTAATTAGAGATAAGCAAAAAACCAGCAAAATAAACTGGATTTCGCCACAGTGTCAGTTTGATCTGCTCTTATCTATTCAAGGTTTTCTGGGAATGGTAAAAGAAATTTTTACCTTGTATCCGAATTCAACTGTTAAACCACGTAGAATATCACAAGATATGTTAGAAGGGCTATTTGGTACAATTCGACAGCTTGGAGGCGATTCTTCTACACAAACATTAAAAGGATATGGGCATGCATTAAATAAATTTCAGGTTACTGCAAAGATGACTTCCGAAATCAAAAGCTTTAATTATGGAGAATCAAGTCATAATGGAATGGAATTTGATCATCTTACTCGTTAGTAAGTGTGTTTTACAAATTAAACTTTGTATTTAAACAGATAGTTAATAACTTTTTTTTATAGTGATTGTAGAACAAAAAAATTAAAGGATAACAATACACATCCTACCTTGCTAAATCATGTTACACGATTATCCAATATGTTTCCTTTTACACGACGGATTTTTGAAAGTCTTCTTTTAGATGATTTGTTTATGGGAAAAATTGAAACTCCAGCCTTGTCTTTCAGTAATGAAAATGAAATTAATCAACAAAATCAAAAAATTTCATTTTTACAAGAAGAACGTCAGCAACTTTTCATTTTGTGCCTCTATAATGATGAGTTGATGACATTGCTTCCATGTTAGAAAAATGGAAAAATGATATTAAAAATATTGCTCTGAAATCAATTCCCAAAAGAAAAGGAAACCTTTGGATGACTACATGGGTTTCTCATTTGGAAATTAGTCTAAATAACTATCTATGTTCTGGCGTTTGGTATTTAGAATTTCAAAAAATAATTTCGCAAAATCATTCTATTACACAAAGACTTGTTGCATATTTTCTTGTTCGCAAAGTGATAGACGAAACATTTAGGGGTAACTTTCATGAAAATAGAAACGTACAAGAACATGCTGATCCCACCTTGACTCCTAGGAAAATTATTACTTTAAATCAAGCAGAATCCCAAAAATTTTCCTATATTATTGGTTGGGTACTCTTCAAGTTACTTAAAAGAGATTATGCAATGAATTCCCATCCAAAATTTCGGGTAATGCATACTTTACTTGAAAGTCTTTGTGAAGAAAAGGTTGAATATACGATAGAAACAAGATCACAAACCACTAACATTATACCTGGGCCTGAATTTACTCAGTTCATGTATTATTTAGAATCTCTAGTAATTGATCTGTTTAAAAAACATAATGAATTAGGGCCAAATATCCTTCATTATGTGAAAAATAGTCTTCTTTCTAACTCATCTCTGAATCAGATGTTCATCACGATTTTGAAATCTTCAACTGATGTTGAATTGGGAGATGAAGAATGTGGGTTTATTTATGAAAGATGCATCACAATCTATATGAGGAGCTGACAAAAAACATGGAGAAATGTTAACAATTACATCCCAGAAAAAGGTACTGCGAGCTTAAGAGAAGGCCTGAAGACAACGCATTCAAATAACTCTGCAACAGAAAATAAAACATCCTCCCTCATGAAAAAGGCGAATTTACCTACTAATCCTATTTATGCTTTAGAACAACTTCGGGTATGGGCACAACTTGAAAAATCAGAAGATTCATTTGCTAAAATTTTTTCGGTGTCAGAATTATTATGGATAATCTGGGCATTTGGGAGTTCAACATCATATAAAAGAAAACAAAAATTGGTACCTATAATTATTTCCAACCTGAAAAATTCAACACCATTTACCGAAGAAGCTCTTAAAAGAAGGAGTATTTTTATGGAACAAATAGAATAACAAAAAATGTGAACATATATTCAATAAATTTATAATAAAGAGGAAATTTTATTGTTTGTTAAATTTAAAATGTTACATTAAAATTTTGAATAAACTTATTAAGCTAACTAGAATGTCAATAATGCACCAATAACTATGAAACTTTAGCAGTAAACGGCTTTCAACTATGTTAATCTACTTTCAAACATCGGCGTTTAAAAATGTTTTGTATCTAAAGTTGTAGGCTCGGAATATTTTTTCGATATAACAATGAATAGGCGATTAACATAAACTCAGGGGGGACAGTTCGTAATGGTAACACATGGTGACACAACAAACAAGTTGTCCCCCCCTCCACCCCTTGGTAATATTACATAAATCTTACGAAATTGTAAACTTACGTAATATTTTGAAATTTTTCGAAATATTATGCCATAAACTTTCGTAAACTTACAAAATCGTAAACTTACGCAATTTTTTGCGCTATAAAATTTCCTGATGATAAACTAGTATTTTAAATTCCAGATAAATTGTAATTTTTGGATAGAATTAAATAATAATAATTACCAATAATAATAATTACTACTGGTAAGATTTAACAAAATCTTTACAATTAATTTTGTTAAAATATATTTAAAAAACTTTATTAAATAAATAAAATACTTTTTTTATATTTTTATTTTTATTTATATAAAAAAAATTAATATATAATATCTATTAACTATTCATTATTCTATTAATAGCAATTAATTAACTTTAATTTATTAGTAAAATATTTATTTACATATATAAGTTTATATTACTTATCATTTAATGGTTAATATATAAACTATATAATCTTAAATAAATAAATATTTAGATTTTATTTCTTATAATTTAAACATTAAAAAAATTAGTGCTATTAATAATCAATTATTATATAATTTTATATAATATTAAATTTAAAATTCTTTCTTTTAAAAATATTTTATTATAAAACAAAATTTTAAAATTAAAAAAATAAATATTCAAATTTATAGAATTAAAAAATAATAGAATATTTGCAAATCAAATGAATAGTTAATAAATTATAATATTATTTTAATGTAATTAAAATCTTATATACAAAAAATAAATATAATTAATTACTTTTATAATTAATTTCATTTTATTATTATTTGTCATTTGTATAAAAATCATTATAATACTATTAATATATATTGTAAAATTATAATAGTGTATTAGAAATTATATGATTTAGTAGATGAGTAGGGATCAGGTTCTGCAATCGTTACCAATGATAACGGTTTTTGCCAAGAAAAATTCACTTATGAATTAATTGTATTATCTGAACAAGAATAGTTCGCCAAGAAAAAAACCATGACAAAATGTATTTCTGATTTATTGATATAAAAAATAAATCACAGGATTCGGTAATACATAAACTTGAAATAGCGTTTCTATACTAATGCCTGCCGGTGTTTCATTTATCTAAGCTATCTATATCATCTCAAAAATGTCATTAAGTAAATTCAATACATATTCATTATGTGTATAATGCAAAATTAATGCTAAATATTCTTATACCCTACGTTAAGTTATTATATTGCTAATTTAGTACAGTCTGAATTTGGTATTAATTTAATGTTAAATTTAATCGCTTATTTAAGAATATTTAATGATTTCATAACACGATAAAATTATTTATATGACAATATCTTTTTTATTGTTAGTTTAGCAATAAAAAATTTAAAATTTGATAACTGCTAAACTATAAATCTTCATTTAAAAAAATATTTAAATCTTAATGTTTAATTAAATATTTAATATTATACTTAATAATTTTATAATATAATTTAATCAATTTTTTTCAAAAAATTTCATTAATGCATAAGTATTAAATTTAATAAACCATAAACATTAATTTAAATATTAGTTTAATATAATTTATGCATTCTTATTTGGTGAGAAAATTATTATGAAATGTTTATATTTTTAACACCCAAGAATTAATGTTTTAATTTGAAACTATCAATTTTGCTTTAGCAATTTAACATATTATAATGTAATTATATTTATTATAAGCTAATACATATACTAATAAATTAAAGCACTAGATTTTTGAATTTCCTACTTTTTGGCGAATATTTTCCTCACTAACAGTTTTACCCTTCATTGCTAATTTAATTACACCAACTGCAAATAATTTGTCAGATTTAGTAGGTGTATAGTCCTTACTCTTAAAAATGTCAGGAATTATTTCTTTTTCAAATAAGTTTTCGCCATTATTGTTCTTTCTTTTCATGAAATTTTTTGCTGCAGCAACTTTTTTATCTTTACACCATTCTTCAATATTATTAGAGGTAACGCGTGGTAAATCCAAATTTTTACAAATAGCCGATAAACTATTTTGTGCAATGTAACCTCACCGATCTCAAACTATTTTTAATGACTATAGATCATTATAATAATCAATTAATTAGTTAATAAATTACATAAATAATAATATAATGTTACTATATACAGTACCTCACTTCGTACTTGTGACCAGAATGCATTTTTATTCTTTACTCTTGATTCATTGTGAAATCCACTCAGTACACCTTCCTTAAGTTCTTTTAAGCTTGGATACTTACTATGAGCACAAATATTAAGCACAACACTTTGCAATATTGGCTTATATAACAGAAAAATATTATTGTAATTATATTAATAACAAGTCATGTAATTAGACATATTTTACTCACTTTATACCAATCACCTTTCCCAATAACATCTGTTAGTCTTGTATCAAATTCTTCATTTTTATGTTGAATACCTAATAGTTGTTGATGAATTACACGTTGATTTTACAGTATAGCTGTCCAGAGTTTAATAGAAGCATTCCATTGATTTGAATCAAGTTTTTCGCCTAAAAATTAAAAACTTTTTATATAAACTCCTGATAACCTCCTAATTCCTATATTAGCAATAAATTTTAATGGTTAAATGTGATTATACCTTCTTTAATTTCAAGCTGATTAATATCATCTTCACTAATATTTGTAAAACGTTCCAAGTTTGATAGTTGATTATTAGCAGCTTCTTCAACATTTTCATCACTAAAATATCTAGAAAGGTGTTCTTCACTTTCTTCACTCTCTTCAATTTCTTCATCATTTTCAATATTCAAATTATTATTATCTTCTTCTTGTATAATTATTGTACTTCTAGACTTCTTTGATCGCTGTTCAACTTCATTAGCTCCACTTTTTTTCGTCTAAGTATAATTTAAAGAGAAGTTATAATATTAATAGCTAAAAATGTAAAAAAAACTGAAATATCAAACCATTTTATTAAAGATTAAGTAGATAGAAAAAATTATTGAATACAAAGACTTTTGTTATTTAATAAAAGCTAAAGAAATAAAATAAAGAAACGAGAATTAAGCTTTTTTTTTAGATATAATAAACTTTTTAATCAGTTGGTGGCTTAATCAACCGCAGTAAAGTTTATTGGTAGCATAATGGTAGATTAGTAATACAAAGAATTCATTAATTATAATTTGATTTTGCCAATTTTAATTTATAAAAAAGTAATTATGCGTGGTTTAGAAATAAAAAATTCAAGGTTATCTCAAGAAAAGTGTGTAAATTGTAATAAAATATTTACTTCAAAATCAGCTTATATTAATCATGAAAAATCCTGTAAATTTAATGTAACCCCAACTAAAAGAATTAGTTCACATTTCGGAACTACAAAAATTAACTTTTTTAAATCAAATAATACAATAGTTCAAGAAATTGATAGTCAAATATCTACACAATATTCTCAAGAAAATGAATTTAATGATTTTAATCAAATAGATCTGGATAATACTTCAATCAGCAACTTTCACAAATAATTGTTAAACATCAATTGCATGAAGATGCAATAAATGATGTAATTTCTTTAATAGCTAATATAACTAATAAAGACCCAAAAGAGCTAGGGATTCCAAATAATGCTAAAGAAGCATTAAAATATATTGACCTTATTGGAGATAATTCAAATCAAGATTGGTTTGAAACAGAAACTATAATGTATAACAATCAGCAGTATGTATTAAGACATAGAAATATAATTGCATGTATTAAAGAAATGTTAAATGGTGAATATGGAGATACATGTCAATTTTTTTATAAAGAAGAATTTGATAAATCTGGAAATCAATTATATTCTGATCCTTATACTGCTGACTGGTTTAAACAAACACAATACAGTATAAAGAATTCTAAATCAGGAATAATTGGCTTAATCCTTTACTCTGATGCAACAATTTGTGATATTCTTGGAAAAAATCAAAAACACCTAATTTTTGTAAGTCTTAGTAATTTCCCAAATAATGTCAGAAATAAAGAAAAAGCAAAAGTTCTTCTAGGATATATTCCAATTATTAATAATGCAAATGTAGAATTATATTTACAAAATTATCATAAATCAATTGAAATATTACTCCATCCTTTATTATCTCAATATAATTCTGAAGCTTGGATTACAGTTAATGGTGAACCAAAGCATTTTTATATCTTTCTTTCTTATGGAATCAGTGATATGAAGGAAGCAAACAATGCTTGTGCTACTTATCAATCTTATAATGCTTTATTTCCTTGTCATTCTTGCTTAGTTCCACGAGAATATTTATCTTCAATAGATCATAATTTAATATTTTCAGAAAGATTTACCTGTGATATAAAAACTTATTTTATGGATAATTCATTACAAGCAAAAAATTTGAATAATGAATTGCACAAACTATCCTTACATCCAATTAAAAATGCTTTTTGGAATCATAAAAATTTTGAAGTATATTCTTCATTTGTTCCTGATATTATGCACATTTGTGATTTGGGTTTATTTGTTTATATGGTTAATTTTACTATGGAAAAGCTTGAAAAGGAATCACAATCAGAAAAAAAAATCAAAATCTTAAACAATCGGTTATCATCAATTCCCAGATATTACAAATTATCATTACCTTCAAAAGGAATTATTAATAGAACTAATTTTACAGCAAATGATTGGAGAAATATAATGAAAGTATTTATATTTACTATTAATGGGCTTATTAAAGATGAACAAACAAATAATCTTATTGTAGAATATTTTCAAAAATGGAATGAATTCTATTTATTATTACGATCTTCAGGATTTACTGAAAATTGCTTAAATAGTTTATCTCAAAAAATATATGAATGGGCAAATATTTTTTCTTTTTTATTTAAATCACACTCAAAATCTGGTTTACAGCTTCCAAAATTACACTCATTATTGCATCACATAATTCCTTCTATTAAAAAGTATGGTGCACCAACTGGTTTTTCTACCGAAACCTATGAATCATTACACAAGAAATTTGTAAAATAACCATATAGATCTTCAAATAAAAGGAATCCTGATATTCAAATGATAAAGTTGGTAAGTTTAATACTATTTTATTCTAATATTATTTATTTTTACTTAATAATTAATTTTTAAAATTTAATATATTACTAATAGATAAGAAGAAGAAGTATTTTAGAAAAAATCAAAGATACTACTAAAAATACACAATACAATTATAATACACTTATTACAAAACCTTTTTATTCATTTACAATGTCTAATAAACCAAATTTTAATTGTAAAGAATATATTTTAGCAATGCAACAGCTGGATTTGTGTTTGAATAACTTTAAAAATATGTATAATGTTGATAATATTTTTGATCAACTTTCTTATTCAAATACAAGGATATATATTTATAATTCAGCAAATCTTTCTAATGGAGTAAAAATACATGCAGCATCGGAATTTCACCAAAAACCATGGTTTTCAGATGTTGAAATAACTATGGATGTAGATTATCAAGGAAATTATGAAGAAACATATTGGGGTAAAGTTTTATGTTTAGTAAAACTTTTAAGTCTTGAATTTGCCTTAATACAATGGTATGATTACTTTGAAAATATACCTGAAAACTCAAAATTTGGATGTCCATACTTAAAATTAGAAAACCATTATGATTTAATTCCTATTAGTTCTATATCAAATGTAGTTCATATTATACCAGATTTTAATGTTGATAATGGTTATTTTATTAATAAATATATTTTTTAATAACTGATAACTACTAAGTAAATATTATAATAATATGTATTTGTTAGCAAATATACAGATGAATTTTACTTTCTATGTAATGATATATTGAAAAGTTATTATGATTTTATTAAGAATTAATAAATAAAATTATTTTTAATACGTTATTATTATATTTATTAAATTAATATTTTTCTAATACTTAAAAAATCACAATATGATTACTAATTATATTTAAATATATTTGATAATTAAATAAAAACTTAACACTAATTTGGTAATAAACAAATCAATAAACTAGTTCAATATTAATATTTTATAAATTATATATAAATTACGAGTCAATTATAATTTTATATTAATATAATGATATATATTATTAATTCTAATATAATAAGTGTACAGTTCAATTTTGATAATTAACTATAATTTACATATTATCTAAAAAATTGCAAAATCATCATTTATCAAACAATTATATATTACCATAATAAAAATATAATAAAATTTTTATTGCAAAATTGACACGTGTAATAAAAAATTGCATATTCATTGCATGGTAATTTTTGGGATGATACTAACACAATCTCACATTAACTCTGATCCAACTTCAACATCGGTATTCTGGATAAAATAAAATGGTTGCCAGTTATGCATAGAACGTGCAGAGTAAGAAATAAATTAACAATATTGAGACAGTATTGAGCTAGTAAAACTCACTGAAAGTTTATGTAATAAGGTCCTCGAAATTTCTAAACAAAAAAATAGATATTAGCCTTGCAAGCTCTGAGTCGCTTCCTTGCGACAATCACCTTAATCGCGAAGTACCTCTTTCAAACTGCGATAGGTCGGTTTCTTTTTAACGAGTCCTCGGAGAAAATGCTTGGACATCACTTCCTGTAAAGCCACACTGATTAGTCAAATACGGTCAATCGTACGACCACTCGTATGACATGAAAATTAAACCACTTTTTTAATAAATACCTTGAGAATCGGAGAATGTCATTTTTTTTTTCATTTGATTAATTTAATTAATTAAGTATCTTTTTTTATAATCATCTTTTTTTTACAATCCTAATGATTCCAATGAGTAACTGTATTATTTATATTACGTACGTCACTACAAGAGTCTAGTCACGATGTATTCAGAAAGGTTTAATTTAATATATCAATAAGCTGATTTTGATTAAATAGCTTATTGATGAGGATAAAATTAAAGGATCGATTTTTTTTGATTTCAAAACAAATTTTCTTCCTTTTCTTTTATCGGAACAAATTCTTTCTTTTTTTTATCCCCCAAGAAACTCTCTCTCAAACTTCTTTTAAATTCGAAATAATTCAAACTGTTATATTCGTTTCTAATGTCTTCCTCCAAAATCATTCAGCTCTTCCATTTCGTTAATAATCGAGTACAATGCAAAATATATATATTTATGTTTACGTTTATATTTATGTTTTTGACGTTGTACCTTTTTTTTTTATTTTTATTTCTCGACAAACTCTTTTTCACCTCTCCCCCACACTTCTACTGCTGAAGAGATTTTCGTTTCCACTGTGGTGTACATTTTGATTTCTATTCTTAGCGTCTTTATACCAGGAGATATCCTATATGCTTGGGGTCAAAACGAGTATAACGTTTATCTTCTTAACAAGACCGTGAAAAAAGGAACTCGGCCTAAAATTAATGTTTCGGATGATGAGTTTGTTCTCAGATCTCTAGCTGTAGATCGTCTTAAAAAAATTCTTCAACCGAACAGAAATCATTCATGTTATCATGTGGTTTGTGGAGAACACGAGACCGGGAAAACCACGTTAATCAGAAGTGCATCAAGAGAAGTAGGGCAGGGAATCATATACGTTGAAATTCCTGCTGATGCAGAAGATATAGAGGACTTTGGCATGGCATTTGGAAAATCTCTTAACTTCGCATTTGAGGAACGGTTCTCTTTATGTCACAGCTTATGAAGAAAATATTAGGCGATACCAATGGTAAGTTGATCATTATTATCCTTTACAACTGAAGCTTTTGATCCTAGTGTTTCTCTTTATAGGTAAAGATGAGCGTCCCAAGTGGAAAAGAGCCCTGGAGGCCTTCAAGCGTACTAGTGCAGTGTACAAAGAAAAACATAATAAATCTCCAGTCATAGATTATGATAAAATTGCCAAATTAGTTAATGTGAACCCAAAAGTTCTTGATACTTTTCAAGATGATGCTAAAATGAATGCTGATCACAGAGAGTATTTGTCAGTAGCGGAGGGAGCGTACCTAGAAGGATAGAATGTAAGTACTGACATTTTTTTGTGCTCCTGAAAATAGTATTACTTACAGAGCGTGATTCTTATTTTAGAATGGTCACGTGTAAAAACCTGTGATTGAAATTGGCGACCTTAGCAAAGAAGAATCAAATGAAATATCTAACTGAGAAACGCAAGATCAATTAAGTATATGCAAAAAATATATATGAATTGGTTGGTGGACGCATTATAGATCTAAAAACTGTGGCAGATGATTTCAGGCCAAACAACCTTTTGAAGGTAAGATTATCTATATTTGCGTCAAATGAACTCTGTCTGCTTTAGATTAATTGCTCTTTTTCACAGTCATTGAACAGCAAATATTAACCGAAGTCAAGAAGAAATTTGATTCTGCCAAACTCCTTCAATATCAGACACACCATGAAGCTGAAAAAAGATGTAATTCGTGCTTTGCTGAACTCTAAGGAGATTGATACTGATTTATTTAGAAAATATTTTAAGGACGAAAGTGTTAGTGAAGTTTTAGAGGCTAATGTATTTGCATATCATCCGTCAAGAGATACTGTGACATTTCAGTCACAATCAGTAAGATACTTTATTCAGAAAAACTCCAGTATATTCACTAAAGAAAATCCACTAAATAAGACCGCGATTTACATTTTTAGAAAAAACATAAAATCTGCATAGAATTATACAAAGTAATGTACTGTATATTAATAAATAATAAAAGCTTATTTTATTACTAAAAGTCCGCGAGGATATACTTTCTATAATTTTTATTATTCTGCAATGCCGATTACGAAATTTATTAATATTTTCGGATACAGTATATTAAAAAAATGAAAAAAATGCTAGAGAAGCGAATGAAATGTATGATGCTATCAAAGAGGGAGGGAGTACGCAGATACTAGGCCATTTAATGCGAGTCCCAGCATCAAGTTATTTCTTTCTCTATCACACTTTCGAAAAATATCTATAGCTAATTTGTTTCTATTGTTATTAAACACAAGATTTTCACCCAAACACTCTTTTTCTACACTATATTACCAAAATAAATTATCCCATACATATCTACAAAATTATTGTACATCTATATCACTACACCCGCACAGACTATTTAAGATTATTCCCCGCAAGAGAACTTTACCGAGATAGAAAAATTTCGAATCTACGGTGTATATTCGAGAGGTTAGCAACTGAAGTAAAAAAATAATTCTTCCAATCCACACTTACTGATATAGTTCATTTTCACAATATTCCATTTCATCTGAAATTTATTATTATTTAATGCATTACAATAAAGGTGATTTTTGCCGGTACGATACTGCGCCAAAATACTAAGAATTTGGCACGTGAAGATGTTTGAAAATTTCCATGATTTAAGGTTATAAATTACATGAAAATGATACATTCAAACATGAAAATATAAAACACGGATCAATATTTTTTAAGGGCTAATATAATTTTAAAATTTAAAATATTTCTAAATATTACTGCTAATGATGTTATCAGAATTAGAATAGAATTTTAGATAAAAATGAAGTTTGTAGTATAGCGGATCTTATAGTCTACCAGATGCGGCAATATGTTAAGATAGTACATTTTATACATTGCCTATCTAATTAGCCAATATAACCACCTGACAGTGCACACATGGAGTTCTAATAAAGAATCAGTGGTTTATAAATTAATAATATTAGAGTAGGATATAGCTTTTACTTTATGAATATTACTATTACAGTATTTACTTTTGAAAAAAAAGCAATATTCTTAAATTTTATAACTAACTCTAAAGTAAATTATAATTATTAAATTTAATATTAAAAATGAATTTTATTATACAATTATACAATTAAAATTTACTATCTAGTATATTATAAAAATTATTAAAATTTTAAAAGTAAGGTTGATCATTGATGCCTCAACTGTTTTCCAAATGGTCGCATAATTACGGCTATGTAAAAAATATAGAGTTGCGGTTGCGAATTGCGAGTTGCGATTAGTAAAAGGCCACATCTAGTAAACAGATTAAAATATCATTATCATTAATTAGATTGTGGAAAATTTGATCCATTATTAAAGCAGATAGTTTTTGAATAGGTCATAATAGCTTGAAATATTATAAATTTAGTAAAAATTAAAGAGAATTTCTTATATAGTTGGCATAAATTAGAGTTGCGATCCGTCAATCCGTAAATAAACACATTTCAGCCATTTTATGAATATTAAGTCAATAAAAAGAATTTTTTTTCTTAGATGTCTTATGAATATATAATATAATAAAAAAAAATTGTCTTCAAAAATAAAAGTAGAGAGAAAATTAAACCGGATTGAAATTCATCCGGATCGGATGAAAAATCAATCCATTTTTTATTTTCTCTTTTTTTTTGTATTAAATAGTAATTTTTTAAACTACTAGATTGCAGTCTTATAATATCAGATATATTTATTAAAATCCGTGTATAATTACCAAAATGTGCCCTTTCGAATTCATCCGGATCGTAACTCTAGCATAAATCATCTTAGAAACAATTTTAAAATATTGAATTTGGTCGATGCGATGATCATCTTTTTCATTGGTTGAGAATTAAGGTTCTCCTCACCTGATTACAGTATTACGTAATCAAACGGATTATGTCTAGACTCTATCGGATCATCAGATAAAAATCTGATTAATGGTACTTTCTTGGGTTGGTTGGTCCCTTTCCCGTTGTTTGATCTTCTCTATGAAACTATTCTCCTATTGCGAAACCATAATAAAAAACTAAATAATAAATTTAATAACATTTGTTCTAAAGATGGGGGGAAAAAAAAATAATAATAATAATTAATAAATAATAAATAAATATAAATAAATAAACGAATAAGGTTCGTTAATACCATTAAAGATCAATGATGAAATTTAATAAAAACATTAATTAAAAAATATTAAACATCAATAAATTCATAATTTCATGAATTAACCAATAGGGACCTTCGTATAGTTACTATAGTACAAAGGATTATTTGATATTACGATATTTGATGGATATGATAACTTTGATATTTTTGATATTCGATATTTTTTTTTTGATAACTTTTAATAACTTTTGATATTTTTGATATATTTGATATTTGATATTCGATATTTTGATATTATTTTTTGATAACTTTGATATTTTTTGATATTTGATATTTGATACTTTGATATTTGATCAATATTTTTGATATTTGATACTTTGATATTTGATCAATATTTTTGATATTTGAATATTTGATAATTCGAAACTTGATACTTTTTTGATATTTTGATATTAATATCTTTGATACTTTTTGTACTTTTGGATGAATCAAAACAATGATGCAATAGAATCCGTGTGAACGAATGTATGATACTGTACATATTTGAGGAAAAAATAAAAAACGTTTCAAAAAAAAATAAATTTTTTTTTTTTAAACAAAAGTGATAAAAAAAGTTCCATCTAATAATAGTTATATGTATATATATTATATTTTTTTTTTATTAATATTTTATTTATATTACTTATTTTAAAAAACGTTCTCAAAAAAGATCCATTTCTAATTTTCGAAATAACTATGAAAAAAAAAAAAAAGGTTTCATTTTTCACGGGAATTTCCCATTTTTCCCATTTCTGATCAAAATAATAAAAAACAATGAAAAATAATGAAGTTGTAAAATAATTCGGTCTACCATTTTAGGCAAAAAAATTCAGTGATCTTTTTTTTTTTTTAAAAAAAACAAATCCCTTATTTTACTTTTATAGTATAATCATAATGAATTTGAAATTCATATGCAACCATTTAATATTTGCATTTTATCGCTTTTTTTCTTTTTTTTTAGCAAATTATAATGATATTTTTTTTTTTTTTTAACAAATTACAAAATGGTTTTTCTTTCTTTAATAAATTACAATGATTTTTTTTCCTTTAACAATTTTGTTACTCGAATACTTAACCCTTAAATGTATTAAAATTGTTTATTTTTTGTATCATGTTAAACAAATAATAATATATATATATACAGTATGTAATATAATTTAAAAAAAACAACAATAATAAATAAATAAATAATAAATCATAATAAACAAAAGATATGATGAAACTCTATGATTTTTTTTTATTTCATTTTTCTCCATTACTTTCCATTTACTTTTAAGAACAATGAAAAAATTGTAATAACGTAACATTACATCATTTGATCATTTGATAGGCCGAGACTACGAAACTACGCAGGGGAAAATGGTTGACATTATTTTTTTTTTTTTGATTATAACTTTATCGCTGTAAAACATATTATATGTATATATATAGTAATTACAATGGTATATATAATAGGTATATAACTGATAAACAATGATTTCTAAAAAACTATGGAATTGTTGATCAACATTTTATGTCAAAACTATTTAAACAAACAACAAGGAAAATCAATAACTTTTTCGGTTAAATCTTAAAAAGGAAATTTTGGTTAAATATCATCTCTATTTTTAGATTCGGAATAATTCATATTTGGTTAATTTTCTTTTGTGGAATATTTAACATTTAAGAAAGTTAACCTAAATTAGTTTAGATTTACAACTTACCGTATTATTGTAATTGTTCTGCAGTATATCGTGTTAATTGATTTCTTTTTTTTTCTGAAAATGTTTAGTGTAAAAACAAAAATGAAAATTCAAATTTATCTATATTATAAAAAAAAAAGTTCGATCTTGGAAGTAAAAATTTCGCAATGAATTTCCTTTTTTAATTCAAATGAAAACCATGAAACTGTTTCAGAAAAAGAATCACCGATAGTGGTCAAAATTGTTATCATTCAAAAATTTATTTTGTTCCAATCGAATTACAAAGAATTTTAAAACGTAAAAAAAAAAAAACCTTCCTTTGGAAATTTTAATAAAAAAAAATATAATTGGAAAATTAAAAAAAAAGTACACGCATCTCGGGTATTATAATGTGTACAACTTTACAAAAAATCAAAAAAATCTAATCTTATTAAATCCACTATTTAAAACCTTTTTGTCCTACATTCCTATATGCAAATTATCAGCCAAACAGCCAAAATGACAGTTTATATAATTTACAATAATAAAATATTTCTTTAAGATCATTTATATTATTAACCAAAATTAGAATTTTGAAACAAAAGATTCTTTAAAACTCCGCTAGTTCCGATTTAACGATCGAATAGTTTTTATTATTTATTTATTTATTTCTTCAGATTATTTATAAATATTCTTTTTTTTTTTTTGATACGTCTTCCTTAAATAGAATTACAAAAAAGGAAATAAAAATTATCCGGTATCAAGATCCGTAACCTGTTACCCTTAATCAATTCCGGTTTTTTTCATTTTGTTTTTTCACATATAAACCCTCTTTGAAATACCTTCAGCAAAACAACAAAAAAAAGAAAAAAAGAAAATATCTTCTTTAATTGTTTAAAAGAAATTCTTATCTTCTTTAATCTTCTTTATCAGATAATTCAAAAACTTCTTTAAAGGAAATATGACCCGATTACTTCAAATTACATTGTTTCTTTTGGCTATCATGTTAGTATTCATCAACGTTAATGCGTTTAAAGGTGATGCTACATTCTACTATACAGGCCTTGGAGCCTGTGGAACTACAAATAAGAATTCAGAACTCGTTTTTGCTCTCCCTGCTAAAAATTTTGATCCTTCTCCTGGTGGTAATCCTAATAAAAATAAAAACTGCGGAAGAAAAGCAAAAGTTAAATTCGGTAGTAAATCGGTAATTGTCAGATGTGTGGATCGTTGTGCTGGCTGTAAACCTGGTGATATAGACCTAAGTCCTGCCGCCTTTGATAAACTTGCAGATCGAAAAAGAGGTAGAATCTTAGTCACATGGGAGTTTATTTCCTAGATCCCCAATAATTATCCCAATTCCAAGTCGAAACTTGGTAAAGTTCAACCAAGGCAAAAAAATCAATTAATGAACATTTTTTACTGAGATAATAAATTGTAAATAATTTTTTTTAAAAAATCAAAAAAAGAAAAAAAAAAAAAAAAAAATTACCGCCAAAGCTGTCTTAAATCCACAATTACAAAAGAAAAAAAAACAAAGGAAAAGATAATATATATTTTGTTTCTTTAAAGATAAGAAAATATTCCAAGAGATCATGTTATTAGAGTCATGTGATTTTCTATATACAACGTGTATACCGGTCATCGGAAATATTTTTGATATTGTAAAACATCTAGTATTTATTTTTTAAAATTGAAAATTACAAAAAAAGAAAAAAAGAGTTGGAACTTTGTAACTGAAAAATATTTGCACAAAAAAAAAAAAAAATAAATAAATAAATAAAAATTACACACGAAATTTTAAACCGAATTTTTGAAATAAATGATGTTTTATAAATTCTAATTACAATCATTGTTCTTTCTTAGATTCTCCTCCGATATATTGACTCAACTTTTCGCCTGTTGATCCTCCCTGTAAACTACTACGAACTTTATCTGAACCAAGTTTAACAATCTCTGTACCTATCATACGACAGAATGATTCTACAGGTCCAAATAAATTTAATAACCAGATTATATAACCAACGAATCCGACAAATGAAAAAAGTACAAGATAAACTGGTGATGTGATGATTGTCACGAATTCATTCCAACCAAGCACGACTAAAGATGAATTTAAGTATTAAATTAATATTTTAAAAAATTATAAATATCATTAACGTCTTTGGTAGATAGAAACTTACCAAGTAAAAGTAATACCCAATATGGTACACGAGCTGTCGTTGCAACAACGGATCGTTTAGCTTCAAGATAGAAGGCATCAGACTCACGTTTGAAACGAACAGTCAAATCATGTTGTCTTGTTTCAGAAAGAATGATTAAAGATTCATTGAAATCAAATTCCTATGCAAAAAGTAATTAATTTATGCTTACACAATTAAAATATTATAATTTATTATACACAATAAAAAAAAAACTTACTTCATCTGATGGAATATCTAACTCTATACCTTCAATTTGAATCTTTGCAAATAGTGGTATCAGTTTAAGTGCCTAAAATAAAATAATGATATAAATAAATTACCAATATTTATATGGTCAATAAAGTTATTTTCAATTTTTTATAAAATAACTAAATTACATCATCTCTGGATTTTCTGAAATGTGCATCGATATCATCTTCGGGTTTCCAAACTTTTGGTAACCCTTCATCATCGTATCTGAATTTTTCTTCAAATCTAAAAAAAAAAAAGTTTAATTAACCGATTTAACAATGGCTCATGCACAAATAATTTAATATTTTCGCTACCTTTCACGTAATTTAAGTAAAAACATATTATCAGCAAGTTCATCATCTATTTTCTTTCGTAACTGTTGCCAAGATCGTTTTCGAAGATTCTCAACAGATTTAGCATTCTCTTCCTCAGAAGAATTAAAGCCTAATCAAATTTAAGAAATTTCCGGTTATTAACAATAATAAAACCTAAATTAGCTTTAAATAATGACAAATTATTACTCTTTGCTTTCTTTAAAAGTTGTTGTTCGGTCTTATCAAGAACTTCTTGAAATTTATTAACAATTTTCGTCCACATATCCGGAGTTGGCGATTTAAAATATAAAGTAACAAACTCGTTTATTTGTGCCTGGAATGCTTTCTATAATAATTATTATTTTTTTTTAAAAAAAACAAAATTCACTTTAATTTATATCCAATTACTCAAATACAACAAATATAATACGAATTAATCTTACTTCCAACCCGTTTATCATTTTCTTAGTTTCTTCAATTCTTGATTTGGCAGCAATTTCATCGATGCCTTCTTGTAACTGAGTAATTTCTTCGTCATAAGTCCAGTCAGTTTCAGTCAAAACAATTGCTTAATAAATGAATAAATATTAATAAAAATAAGCTAATATAAGTTGAATTCAAAAGCGAAATAATTCCATTGAAACTTAATTACATTCTGCATTCTTTTTAAAGTAATCTTCAACCTCATTACGAGCATTAAGTACCACCTCGGCAAAATCGTATCCTTCACCTTTTAATTTTTCCTAAGATATAAGAACGTATTTAGAACCCAATTCTTTTTTTTTTAATAATAAAATATGAAAGATGAAAAATAATATTACTTGAATACGAGAGTTGAACATGGTAATAGCTTTCTTGCTGAGATTCTTCAATTGACCCAAATAAAATGCGTGTAATTGTGAATTTGCTTTGTTAAGTATTTCATTACGTTTACGTTTATATACATCCGAATGATATCGAGATGCATCTTTATCAAATTGCTCTATTAAAAAAAAAACAATTGCGAAAACATTAGAAAATTACATAATACTACCTTAAATATGTAAATATGATATGAAAATAATCAATTACTTATTGTCGTATTTCGGATTTCTTCCATTTGTGGGCCTAAACCTTCTATGATTTTTCCAGCTTCAATGGGTTGTCGAAATCCTTTTATTTTTCCCAAAAATGCTTCAAAAGCAACCTGAAGCAAAAAATTTAAAGGAAAGAATTAGAAATGGATTATCATAAAATGCAAAAGGTAATAATGATATTATTTACCGTCGCTATTTCATCGCAGCGGTATTGTGCAAGAAGTTCTTGTTGCGTCGGTAAATCAAGATCCTTATTGGACATAATTTGATCCTGTATTGGAAGAGTAATAATGATCAAAATAAATACAAAAAAAGTTATAATTTAATTTTATTATCATACCCAAATTCCTTCTGCGTAAACATGAAATCCATCAGCAGGTACTCGTTTACTATAGTTTGGCTTGAAAACAAAATCCTTATGATTCTGATTTACAAATCTAATAAAGTATGTATATCATAAGAATTTTTTTCAAATAATAATGACTAAAATTTTTTTATATAGAATAAAAGTATACCGTTCTCGCAATTTAATTACTTCTTCTTCAAATTTCTCTGGTAAGAGCAGCTTATGTGGTAATGCTGTAAACATAAAATCGAAATAGTCATTGATGGAACAATTTTCCAAACCCTCAGGCTATTTGATTGGCAAAAACAATCATGTTAAATTCTGCAAATGCAAATAATAATGATAATGATAATTAAAGATAATTACTTTAGAAACGCTCTGCCAAATTCTGTCAAGATCGGCTGTTAATGTATTAGCCAAATTTGCTAATGGAGTTGCTCCAACATGGTCTCTAATTACAAAAAGTAGCAACGTCTTCTCTTTGCTAATAATAAATGAAGAATTTTGACAATTAAAATTAACATGATAACACTCACGCGAGAAAAAAAAAATCAGTATCGAATTAAACCTACCCTCTTGCTGCTTGGAATAATTGTAAGTTAACCTCAAAAACGGTCTTCAATAGACCCATATTCGCACCTTGATATAGACCAACTTGATGTTCCCAAAGATTTACAATAATTACATTGGAAGTAGCCATTGAAAATAATGCACTTTTCCTTTCGAAATCCTATATATATAGTATAACCATTAGCACAACTGTAAACAATAATTACGATAACAAATACGCATTAAACAATTAATTAGAACGTTCATCTTTGATTTTAACCAACACTATAAGCTAATTAAAAATATAGAGCATACCTGGTCTTCGCCACGTTCACGACCATCTGTACCTTCGACATCCATGATCAAAACATTCATGTCCTTACCACGGCTCATCCAAATACCTAATCAAAGAGATATTTAATACGAAGATTGTAACTCAAAAAGGAATAACTATGAAGATTGTACCTTTTGTAGTTTGACGGCGAGCAGATTCGCTCATTACGTCAAAATTAGTACCAAAAAGTCGATTTAACAAAGTACCTAAAAAAAATCGAAGAATTAATATCAAAATAGGTATCAAATTCTTCATCAAAAAAAATATTGGGCTTACTCTTTCCAGTACTCTGTGAACCAAAGACTGCTACCAGATTATAATTAAATCCGGAATCAGCTAAATGCCATTCATCTTTCATAGACTGTGACAATTCTTGTCTATTAAAATGTAACAATTTAAAAGTTAAATAGAAAGAATACAGAACGAAATTTATATTAAATATAACTAAACACACGTAAAATGCTGGTTTTCGTCAATTATCTGTAGTTGAGTCGAAGTCTTTTTAACACCATTGGCCTGCCCATTTGAATCATTTGCTACACCATTCATTTCTAAATATTTAATTTATATTACAAAAAGTCTTTCGGTATTTTTTTTATTTATTTATTAATTTTTTTTTATAATTTCAAGGATTTGTAGCTAAATAATAACGAGCTCCTCAAAATTAATTAAAAAAAAAGTTAAGTTCGAAACTGTAATATTGTATTAACATGTGATATCTGAAAATTATTTCCTTGTCAGCGATGACGCACGGATGATCTCATACGCAGCAAATAATTTCAGCCACGAAAAAAAAAGCCCCTTTCGAAAAATTTATAATTGTTTTGATAAATGATAACTAGATAGAGAGCTAGGATATATATTTAATACGAGTAGTGAGGACTACGATTTTACTTTCTTCTTTCAAAGATTTTTGATCTAAACTAAGTTGCATCTTTGGAGATCAAAATTAGATCGAGACAGTGGTATACTTCCGATGCAACACGCTGCATCTGCATGTGAGAACTTTTTTAGTCTGGTTCAAAGGTGGGTTATTATTAAAAAAAATGATCCTTAATATCACAAAAATACATATCGGACATTTTAAATGCTAACAAATCTTTTTTGTTACCAAAACACAAAATAGCGGTCTTTGTCATCCAAAGCATACCGTCAGCACTTCAAGCCCAATTCTTAAACATATTACCACTGATCTCAAGAAAATACTTACTATTTTTGTGCTACTTGTGTATATGAAACAATTACCTGTCCTATTGTTCTGGGAATGATTGTTCGTTGAAAAGGGATTATTAATTTTTGAACAAAAAATTGGTTGAAACTCATGTGTCCGCATATATAAATACAATGAGATTCCGGTATAGCAATATACCCGAATCTTTAATGCACGGTGTTTTTTACGTGTCATTAAGTGATGGAACAGAATTGACAATTAAATGCTGCTAAATCGACTTATAAGAGGAAATTGGGCTGCTTATATGTCAAATCGACGACTTTATTACAGGAAATATATATCTAATTACATTTTGTCATTACTATATATTTCTACGGTTCTAAATTTTACAAATGATAACAATGAAGTAATACTTAAAAGAGCAAGATTTTATTTGTTATTTAAATTTTAATCGTTATTATAATTTATCAATCGAATCTTGTTTGAAAATTACAAGAACAAAGCTAGATAGGAATCTAAAGTAGCCTTATTAAATAACGAAACGTCTTACAGAAAAGAAAATCCATAACTAAGCTATTGCTAATCTGTTACAGCTCGTCAGTACTACTTTGATTAACCCATGCAAATATGTCAGTACGTGCCTACTACCCTTTGAGTAACATTGCACCTTCTCCTTATCTAAAATCCTGTAATTACATATCACTCTTGTTATAAATTGTTTAAATAACTTTCTCTATAGTTATTAATTATAATTCTCAAAATATTAATCCTACTTTAACTTTTCTCGTTATTCTACCCATTTGCTACAACCAATCTAAAGGATCTCTCGTCTTTACAAAAATACTTTACTTTTGCCCAACACATATTACATTACTATGCTGAATCTGTGGATTTGATTACTGCATCGCAAAATTAATTTTTCAAAATTATTATATTATATCTATTAAATAATTCAATAAATACCTACTATTCAATTTATTATTTTTATAAAATAAATCTAATTATATAAAAGTGTGATTTAGTTATATATTTTAATAATTTTTCAATTTATTTATATTACTTTATATTTTATATGTAATATTTTAATTATATATAATATATATATCTGAAAATAATAGAACTTCAATCAATAACAATTTTTTTCCTATAAAATAATTAGTAATTTATTTAAGTTTAACTAATATTATATTACAAATAATACTAACTAAAAATATATTTAATATATTAATTACTAAATAATTATTTTTATTAGTTATATTAATAACCAATATTAATTATATTTATTTAATACTATGTTTATTATTTTTAAAATTATTAAAAATACTTTATCTGTTATTTCTAAAGATATAATTATTATATAATATTTTTATAATAAATATTAATATTAAAAATTTAGTATATAAAATCTAAATTAAAAATTATATGTATAAGTTTAATGCTTATAGAATATATCTGACATTGCATAATATGGGTAGAAGACTGATTTATTTTGTAATTTTAATCTACTAATAAATTTAATAAAGATTACCTGTTACCTTTAAGGATAATAATAAAAAAAAAGATATTTATTAAAATAAATTTGCAAATATTATAATACTTTATATTAATAATTATATAAATTAAAAGAGTTTTTTTAACTTGTTCTTTAAATCAAATAATTTGGATTAAATATATTTTTTGCCAATTATTTTTTTTAAAAAAATTTTCAAAAAAACATTTATTCTAAGTTTTTAATAATCGTATCTTTTATTGTAACTATAATTTACATTTTTTTTTAGAAATTAAGTAAAATTATATAATTATATAAAATTTACTAGTAGGTTAAATCATTTAAATTAAATTATACTAGATTAAAATTAGTCTTATACAAATTAGAAATTTAATTATTATTATTTAAATTTATTATATTTTATATATATATTATACCTTTTGCAAATTTTTAAAATGTTAAATAAATAAGATTATAACTTTATAATATAATTTTTAATTTTTATTATTTAATTAATAATACCAATTAAAGGTAAATTATTTATTTATTATATCATATTTATTAAATTTATACTTTATTTAAACTATATTAAATAATAAGCAATACAAATTTATACATATAAATAAATGTTCTACTAACAAATTATATTTAATTATTATCAATAAAATAAATAGCTAATGAATATATTATATATAGATTTTCTTTATATTTCATATGCTATATAGTAATAAATTATCTATTTATTTATATACTAGATGATTGGAAAAAATAAAAAAATTTATACTTTAATATAAAAAATATTTTATATTAAAAATTTATTATATATTATAAATATAATTTTAAATGATTTTAATATAAATTATATTTAAGTTTTTTTTTAATTTTTATTATAATTTTTATATAAATAATTATATAATTATCTACATATATATAATTATATAATAAAAAATACTATTATTAAAATATTTTCTTTTATATTTATCATTTAGTAAAGAAATATTAATATATATTATTTATTAATTTAGATATATAGTTAAATTCTAAATTATTTCATTAATCATTTTAAATTATTGCTATAAATTAAATGAATTTAATTATATTATTAATAAATATATTACAATATAATGATGAACTTTTTTTAATTGTATTTTATTATAATATTTATAAATATTTATAAATCATAATTTTAGTATACAAGTATCTTAATAATTATTATATAAACTTATTTGATAAATAATAAACTAAAGAAAAAACATTATATATATAAAAATTTCATGTAAAGACTTAAAATAATAAAATTATATTTATGTTAAAATTAATTATAGGCTGAATTAATTTAAAATTTACTTTTTAAATTTAAAACTCAGGATCTTTAGTAAGCAATAAAGTAATTATTTACTGGAATAGCCGAAATAGAAAAAATAAAACTAAAATATTTATTAAGTTATAAAAATAAATGCTATAACTCTTTCGAAAATAGTTATTAGTGCGATACTAAAAATAGTTGTGAGGCTTTAAATTTAATCACGACTCATTTGTCTCCCCTGCTTCAAGCTGTTGCTTATCCTAGTACAAATCTGTTGAGAACCCACGCATGCTTACTTCGTGTGACGTGATTGAGCCTCAAGTTATCATCAGTTTTTCCTATTCGGACTAGAATCCTGAAAGCATTCCCTATTTGGTACTTACGCACGATATGTTAGCTTCCTTTTTACCTCACGATCAAAAAATTCAAAACTTAACTTCTGCTAGTACTAAATACGGGCATTTGGAATTTTAGAGGTGGACATTGCCTAAACTAGTATTAGTACTCCATCTCCTTAATTGACGACCATTAGTTAACAGCTTTTTTATGATAATTTACATTGATAGATATTGTAGCAACATCTTGGTTGACTTTTTACTTTATTAAAATCCTGACACCTAACCGAAAAATACATATATTTTTTTCTTACTCCTCACGACCTTCAAGCTCTACGAACAACCAATCCCTATAAAGAGCTACCAAAATGCTTCACCAACAATTTAACGCAGGTTTCGTGATGCCAGCAGGTTCTCCTCAAGCTCCTGTAGTCAATACAGGTAAGTGAAAATTAGTCAGGTGTTCGTAAAGATCTCGACAAACGCGAGAAAATATACGTGAAAAATAAACTATAGACGTGACCGAGTAATAAATTTAAAAGAAAAGAGCTTTGAAGCTTGGTTTTTGCATCTCAAAATAATAAAATATAAAAAGTTAACATTTGTTTCTGTGTTGAAATCCCTGTCGGTTCATCCTCATTTCTTTCTACCTTGGCTTCACCTTTCGATCTTTGTTAGTAGCATCTGACGAACTAGACATTCCCGAGTTCAAACAATATAATAAAGAAATATATGAAAGTTCAAAGTCTGGTAATCGTAGACGACGCAAGACTACACGTGAAGATTGCGATACTGCTTCTTCTTTGGATGGGTATGATGGAGAAGACGGCAATGGGTCAGAGATTTCTTGTATTTTGATTAATAGCTATCATGAATAATGTAATTAATCAATCTAGAAAATATTTTACGCGCTTTCTTATGTATTGCCGAAAATAGTTCTGTGACACATGCTGAATTTCGTCGCCAAATACACATTCAATCTGAGCAAAGACGACGGGCGGAAATCAAAGATGGTTTTGAGGAACTTCGTCGACAACTTCCTATTAATAATAATGGTCGTAAAATGAGCAAAGCTCTTCTGCTCCAAAAAAGTGAGTTCTCGCGTCTTTCTTTACCATATATATATTTTATTTGTTGGATCTAACTCTGTTAGGTTTAATAATGAGTGATGTGTATAATTAAAGTAAATTACGCGTAAAATTCGTTTTAATTTATGTTCTTACAACACTAATAAAAATAAATTATATATATATATACATATTTTTAAATAGCCGTCGCTCATCTTAAGAACATGAAATCCAAGGAGACTTTCCTTATCGAAGAAGTTAATCGTCTTCACCAATATATCTCGTATCTAGCCGCTGAACTCGAAAGAGAGAAAAGGTAATTCGTTACTCTTTTTTTAATTATTAAACCTACCTTTTTTTTTAAAAAAAAAAAAACGATTAAATGCGTTAATTAAATTTCATTATATTGTTGCGTTTATTTATTACAATCAATTACTTTTGTTAATTTTTCTTTTGTAGATTAAACGCTGTGTATCAACAACAAGAAACCCTTGATAAAATTTATGCAATTGGACTATAAATAATTTGTACACTACAAATATTGTCAGGATTGGCTGCGTCAACCAAGCTCAAATTCAAGTTATTCCTTCTTTCTACCAATAACAATCTTTCGATTTTATTTGTGTTTTAATTGAGTCATTTAATGTTTGTATTGAAATGAATATATTTTGTTTTTTAGTACTTTTTTTCCTTGCGTTCGATATGATCAATTAATTTTCACCCCAAAATTCAAATACCTAGAAATTAGTGCAATGCTCTTCCATTCGTTCTTCCCTGTGCATTATTTTCACTTTTCCCTTCATGATTCCTCAAAGAAAGTTAGTTATTGGTCCTGAACAGTACGATTTTTTTTTTTCAAAAACACTTTATAGTTCTTTTTTTTTGTATGACTCATGTTTACTATATGTGATGTAAAATGGATCGATTTTTGTTTCTTTTATGGTAAAAATTCTTGAACTTTCTTGTAGATTTTCTCTTCAGTGACATTTTAAATTGAGACTTTTTTCTTTAAATAATTGAATTACACATGATCTTGTGTAAAAAAAAATAATAGATTAGGTATTAAAGACGTCGTTACTGGTTATGCTACCTAAACAACAAAAATAATTCATAAAGGATTGATTTAGAACAAAAAAAAATATCGCGCGAGATTGGAATATGGATATGTATCATTTAATTTGTTTAAATTTTTTTTCAACATTAATATTTCTTAAAAATCAAATAATTTTCCAGCCACAAATATTTTGTGGCTAAGGAAAGATAGTAAATCTTTCCATAAAAAGTAGTATTGTACATGTAATCTGTTGTGTAACAAAATTTTCTTAACGCTTCAACTATAGATTTTCTAATTTATTGTTAGCAATAGGATTTTATTTTGATATTATTTCTTGAAACTAAATAAAATTTTTTATATCTAATATGGTGAACATGCTTTAATTTTTACCAGACATCTATATGCTGAATATGTATGCAGTTACTAAACAACAAGCTCCAAGAATTCAAAAACGTCGAAATTATAATTTATAATATGAAGAATAATTATAAATAAATTTATTTATAGGCAAGTGAAAACCGAAAACGCGTAACGCGTAAAATTCAACTTTCTTGGTCGATGGTCAATTTGTACGATAACAGATAATTTCCGCATCGTTCACGTGATCATTTTGGTTTCACCGGAGTTATTGTGCCTTTCAAAAAAACTAATTGACGATAGTTTGATTACACCAATTTTCCTGTATTACCAAATTTTTACCTATTATATTGCTTCCATTGATTCTCCGTCTTTTAACATCATTTTGTCTTTTATACCTCTTTATAACTGCTTCGTTTATCCATCCGTTAATATAAGGTAGCTTCCCTTCCTCTGATTAAAAAGCCACATCATTTTATTCAACCCTTTTTCGATAAAACTTTTAAGAACAAAGTCTTACGTTAAAACCAAGTTTAATCCAAAGGTATGTCGTCTCTATACAACGGAGAGGAGAACCGAAGTTGCCTTACCGCCGATTCTGCTCGCTTTTTAAGTTTTCACACTCTCTGGATCGGTGGCTAAGTAAATATACCACTAGAAAGTAAAAAAAAAACATACAGACAACACCTTGAACAGCCTAAAGTATTCGAGAGACGAGAGAAAATGTTATTCCGTATGTTTAGATGGTTAATTTTAAATCTGGCGGATCCGCCTTTTCTCGTGTTCAGTCAAGAATATGTGGATTCCCACTTTTATGGTTATACCGTTAGTGGTAGTTTATCTATTAAAAGAAAAAAAGAAATAAAGGATCTAAGGCTGTTTCCTTTTTTAAATAATATGTGAGGGAAGTTACAATGGGTGGTTTTATATTCTGCATCAATAAGTCTTCAAGTGAGACAAAATAATTTATCTTTTTGATAAAACTTTGTTAATACATCGAAGACCTTGAGATTACTATACCACCAGCATGCTGTTCAGTAATGATTAGCAATGGAATATACAGCAATCAATTCACAGATATTCTAAAACCATCATATCTTGAAGATGATTATCATAATGGTCATTTTGAAAGAATAAAAGTGTTGCGTGTGAGACGACTCTCTTGAACTCCTTGAACTCTTTAAGAGTTTTTATGAAGAATTATTGACTTCTTTATCAAAGTGCAGCAGAATTTGGCGGCTGACAGTCTTGGTTTTCGAAATTTACCAAAAAAAAGAAAGAAAAAAAATTAATCCAAACTTTGTCATCAAAATCTCTTCATTCACCTGGTGCTTGACAGCTTTCAAATAAAAATGGCCGACGATTTAATTGACTATGAAGAAGAGGATGAGTCCATGCAAACCGATGCCCCCTCTGCAGAACAACCTACTGGTAACGGACAAGAATTATCCGAGGACAATACGAAAGATAAGAAGGGAAGTTACGTTGGTATTCACTCAACCGGCTTCAGGGATTTCTTGTTGAAGCCTGAATTGCTTAGAGCTATTGTAGATTGTGGGTTTGAACATCCGTCAGAAGGTTCATATTTTAAATTTTATATTTTATAATAATAATATTTTTTTTTTCGTTAATTTTAATCTTTAATTAAATTATTAGTGCAACAGGAGTGTATTCCTCAGTCGATCCTTGGTATGGATGTTCTTTGTCAAGCTAAATCCGGTATGGGAAAGACTGCCGTCTTCGTTTTAGCTACGCTTCAACAAGTAGAGCCTGCTCCAGGCGAAGTATCAGTTATCGTACTATGTCATACTCGTGAATTGGCCTTCCAAATTCGAAGCGAATATACTCGTTTCAGCAAGTACATGCCGGAAATAAAGACAGATGTGTTTTACGGCGGTGTTCCTATTAGAGATGATTATAAGAAATTTTCGAGCAAAGAGACTACGCCTCACATTGTTGTTGGAACACCCGGAAGGATTTTGGCTTTAGTAAACGATGGCCAATTGAAAGTGGGTAGTGTTAAACATTTTGTGCTTGATGAATGTGACAAAATGTTGGATCAATTGGGTAAGCTTATATGATCAATACATTCTCGTTTTTTTTTGTATTTTTATTTTATTTTTTAAGGATGAAAACTCTTTAACCCAGCTCGTCTAAGGTCTAACAACCTAATGAGAAAAAAAATTTAGTCTGAAAAAAATAATAATAGTTCACTAATCAAGCCGAGTTATATTCAATTGATTGCAAAATTCTTTGTTTTCCTAATTACGAAAATTAGGGTTTTAAAGAAAAATAGATTTTTTTTATAAAGAATTTTGCAATTAATTGTAAACGAGCTTACACTTTATAGAACTGGTCTAACAAATTTACGTATATATATATATTTATTTATCAGATATGAGACGAGATGTTCAGGCAATTTTCCGCAAGACTCCTCATAACAAACAAGTCATGATGTTTAGTGCTACACTTAGCAAAGAAATTAGACCTGTCTGTAAGAAGTTCATGCAAAACGTAAGATTTTTCATTATATATATATATATCTTTTTAAAAAAAGTTATTGATTTTTAAATTAATCAATCTAGCCGTTAGAAATTTATGTTGATGATGAAACTAAACTCACTCTTCACGGGCTTCAACAACATTTTATCAAATTGCCTGAAACCTCTAAGAATCGCAAATTAAATGATTTGCTTGATACACTTGAATTTAATCAAGTATGCATCTTTGTTAAATCAGTTCAACGAGCTAATGAGTTAAATAAACTTCTTTGCGATTGTAACTTCCCGAGTATTTGTATTCACGGAGCAATGAAACAAGAGGAGAGGTTAGTACAAGTGTTTTTGATGTTTCTTTGTGGCATTGAATGATTAACAATTTTTATGAATGTGTGTAGAATTGCCAAATATAAATCGTTTAAAGACTTCCAAAAGCGAATAATGGTTGCTACTGATGTCTTTGGTCGTGGTATTGATATTGAGCGTGTGAATATAGTTATCAATTATGATATGCCTGATGGTCCAGATACATATTTACATAGGGTAATTTTTTATTTCATATAATAATGATTTTATATTATGTTTATTAAACTCAGTTGTTTATTTATTTATTTAAAAAAGGTCGGTCGTGCGGGTCGTTTCGGTACCAAAGGTCTCGCTATTACATTCGTAGCAAATCAAGAAGATGCCGATACACTAAATAAAGTGCAAGAACGATTTGAAGTCAATATTACTGAACTACCGACTGAACTAGAGATCAATGACTATATGGCATCGTGAATCAGTTGATTGCCTTTAGATGTTTAGGAGAGTTTATTGATTTCATTTATCTACCTAAAAATCTATGTTTAGTTTTTAAAATTCTTATTTTGATCCTTATTATGTATGTAATGTTCATTAAAGTTGGTTTATACAAGTAAACATCTCTTGTAGCTTTTATTTTATTAATCAACAAATAACTTGAATATAGAATCTTTTTATTAACAGCGTGTAATTTCTATATCTGTTTAGTAAAAAAAAAAGTTGGTTTTAATATAATCAACTTATATTTTCAATAATTGAGTATTTTAATATAATAAATATATTATGCCAAGTAAGGCCATTTCAAATTAATCAGTTTTTAACAACGCTATAACAAAAATATTAAATCAAAAGTGAATTTGATACTTGTATAAATTATATCACTGATGCGGTATTTTACTTTAAAATCTTTAAAATCGAAAATTCCGTAAATTTATATTAAGAACTATAATAATTAAAATGATACCAGATTTTATTTTTACAAAATTTTTTATAATTATAAAAATTTTTAATAAAAACAAAATTTTGAATTTAAATATTAAAATAAAAAATATTAATTAATTATTATATAAAAATCAATAAAATATTAAAATATATCCTTATAGGATTACACTGTACTTTTTTTACATTTATTAAATAGCTTTATTGATGATATATATAATAAAAGAATACTGTTTAAATCATTACAAATACATTAATAAAATTAGATTTTCATACAATAAAATCTTAAATAAACTATAAATTAACTCATAACTGATTTAATAGTATAATTGTAAAAGTCTTTATAATAAAACATTCATTATATAGATTTTTAACTGATTTTTAAGCAATACAGAATCCAGAAATATATAATTTTTTTTTACTATAAGTATATAGAGACTTTTTATATAAGTAGTATAGGACCTCAGACATCTAATATTAAGGTCATAACTGACTTTTGGCCAAAAACACCACTTTTCGCTAAAACTCAAAAAATCATTTTTTTGTAAATATCTCAGCATCCAGTAATTTAATTTTAATGAACTTTTTTTTATTTTGTAGCCCTCATTTAGCTCTACAATTTAAAAAAATGCTTGTTAAAATTGGACCACTGAATGCCAAGATATTTACAAAAATGATTTTTTAAGCTCTTAAAAAATGGGCCAATTTGCTAAAAGTGTGACTTTTAGGACTCCCTTGTTGGTTCTTCTTATCTTCCAGTTGGCCTGCTCACTCTCTTATATGTGGATTTATTCCTATATCCTTTTCAGAGATATTCTTTAAATTGAATATTCCGCGTGTCTCTGCCCTTAAGGTTTTATCCGCTATCCACAACAATTTTGTCCATAAATTTTATAGATGTATTTGGTGTTTCTACACTTATGAAAAAAGCAGTTGGGAACAATCTGTCAACATCACTTTACTTCAAAAATCCCAACCTTGGCCTTCAAATTTGCCTAATACATTGTATTTGCCTTTCTCTACTTTACCACCTCTGACTCAAAATGAGCTGTCACGTGACGCTGACGATAGTTGAATTAAGAACTTGATCATGTAAGGATTAAATTGGTTTAATCACTTTTCAGGTTTTATGGGTCATCTAACAGTGCTATTAAATAACAGCAGTTTCTGCAGGATTGGATATCGATTTTAATAATGGGTGCACAATTCGTTGTTTAATTAGCATAGTTACATCTACTGTATTTAGAATATAGCACGGGAGATGATCTAAGAAGAGTTAATGTACAAACAAATTATTTTATAATTTTATTTACTATAATTTCTTTTTAGGAGACTATTTAGCTTTGTTTTTAGTTAGTTTATTTTTTTTATTATTCTTTAAATTGTATATTTGTTTATTGTTTAATGATATTTTATAAAATTAATAAAGATAAAGGCTACTATGCCATATTTACTACTACTCAAAGTGTGACTTGGGGATCATCGTACTTTTTCTCCTGTTAGGTTCTGCCCATTTTTTTCCAAGAAGACATGGATGAAAAATATGAGAATTTTTTGCCTTGAGTGATAGTAAAAGGACTTTTCAACATTATATGAAGTTATTACCAAAATCTTTAATTTTGCCTGAACTCCTTACAGCTTATATTGAGTTAGGACCATTATTATGAGTCCTGGAGTTACCAACAATAATATAAAATGGCAGTTCTATACGAACATATCTCTAGGTTTTCTGAAAGGTTGAAAAGTAGTGCGTCTTAATTTTTACGCCTTTAAAGTCTAACTGGCCAAATGGTTTGCAGGCCAGACCGTTATTTCTTGAAAGAAGTTTTTGACCAACGTATTTCTTGCTAGTTGATGTTGTTAATGGTATAGCCATAGATATCAATGTAATCACGTGATGATCACGTAATATAGATAAATAATATAGATTAGGTCACATGAAAGTCATATGATAAAATTATGTGATATAATGAGAAGATGGTAAGTCATGTGATAATAAATCACGAGATGGGTGGAAATGCTTCAGTTGATCCCCCACAGTTCTTTTTATTTTGCACTAAGGTGGCGCTATCTTCAGGTGGTTTTATTATAGCATAGCTTAGATAGCGTTTGGTTTTTTTACTTAATTAGTTCCTGTCTATCTTTCTGTAATCTTGTTCACATGGATAATAAAAATAAAAATAAAAATAAAAATGATAATAGGTCACATGATAGATAGGTCAAATGACATAATATAATAATAATTTAGGTCATGTGATATTTATTTATAGAAATGTTATTTATAGAAAGATGAAAGTGAAAGAAAAGATAGCACATAAAAGATAATACATAAAAAATAGCATAAAATAGAAAGAAAACATATTAAATAAAAGAAATAAGAAAGATAAAAAAAATAAGAAAGTATATTAGAAAGAAAGAACAAGTTATTTTAGGGTATTTTATAATTTTAGAGTGGTAAAAATTAAATATCAAAATGTATAAATATAGGTGGAATTCAATAGGGATTCTGTAGTTCAGAGTAACTCAATTTTAATATTAATAAAGTTTTATATTATTAAAAGGTAATATGGTACGCCCTAAACTTTTATAATGTTCAGTTTACTTTACTAATTATAAATTATAAGATGAAATAAATATACACTTTCGTCATGAGAATTATCGTATTTTGGAAGTAAAAACATGGATGAAATATTATGGCAAAAGCTATTGCAGTTTGAAAGTTAGGCCACACCAATTCAATTTTTCGTTTAACATAACTCCCTCCCCCCTGTTTTTGGATTTTTTATGTAAAAAAAATACATGTAATTTAGGCCGGAATTATACAAATCTTTAAGTCTTGGCCGGAATTATCATCCAAAATTTTTGCTCATTCTTTTGGTCAAAATTTTGGCCAATATTAATGGTAATTCTGATCATGTATTATTTTTTGTCCCCCCCCCCCCCCTAGATTGGGGCCCCTATGTTATGTTAAACAAAGAATTGGCTTGGAGCAGCCTTAT